ATCATTAGTTTAGTCTAGCTTTTTGTTTTCTTTCTAGCAATGGTATAATAAGGAGGTCGGAAAACAGTAGTAACAACATGCAACAACAGTAACAGCAACGTTGCAAGTCCCATGGTAGTCCCAACTACCAAAACTTCCCGAACTACATTAACCTGATTCCCTATTAGCCAGGGATATGTAGGAAACCTGTGAAGCAAAGGTTCGGTTAAATCTTTTCAAAAATGCTTCACACAGAGTATTCCAACGGGCAAAAATCGCTCGTATCCGCTCATTTTATCTTTACACGAAAACTCTTTGTGTTTTCGGACAAAGAGGGGCAGCTGTGAGCACGTGATTTTTGCTTCACGAAAATTACTCCAAAAGAAATCGAAAATAAAACAAATTGCCTTTGGGTATAATTTTGAGAATTTTGCGTGACATTTTGGATAATTATTTTTGTCTGTGAATGTTTACCTTGTTTTAATAAATTGAAAAATACCAAAATACCTATTGCGTGCATATTTAGGATTTAATTATGCATTTTTTGAATTAATTAAACCATGTCCTATTTTAAAGAATGAAAATCACAAAAATATGAATTTTTGGTAGCTTTGTCATTTTTATTGTTTAATTGTGTGATTTTAGTTTAATCAATATTTGATCTTGTGTGTTAATTATTGTTAAGGGTTAATTAATATCTTTTTAAAATAATCTTGGTTTTACAATTTAATTTAGGAATTTTGGTTTTTAGGAATTAAAAGAAAAGAGTGAAAATTGGGCCAAATTGGAACTGGGCCGTTTTATTTTGACCAAAATCAGGCCCAAACAGATGCCCAGACCGATCCAAATCTCAAAGATGTTCGAACGACGTCGTTTCAACGGCAATCAATCACAGCCGTTGGTCCTGCATGATCCAACGGCTCAAAAGCCGTCTCCCTTACCCATTCCCTGGCCCGACCCGTTACCCGGTTCAAATCGACCCCCTACTTAAACCAAACGACGCCGTATTGGTTAATACCCTTGATCCTAGCCGTCAATCTTCATTGATCCAACGGATCACATCAATCCCTTCAATCTAATGTACCAAAATACCCAGACCCATTACCCCCCGCTCATTTCCAAACGCCCCTCCCTGTTCAGTCATCTCTCTCAGAGCCGACCCCTCGAAACCCTAGAGCCGCCACCCCACACTTTCGCCTAAGACCCGGCGACAACGACACCGTCGGCCACCCAAATAACATCCCTGAACCCTCTGACCACCCTCGTTACAGATCCACTAACCGTTTACCTCGAATCAACCCCCAGCTTCTCGAAACTTCAATCGAAGATTCGAGCAGAACCTAAACCTACCCCAACCAGTCCCAAAATCAGAATAATTATTCTTTGAGTTTAAGTTAGTTCATCAAACTTGATGGTTTAAAACTTTTGGGACCACTTGTGCACATTAAACTAAAGCATGGTTTAATTTAACGGCTGGGGCTCGACAGGCCCTTTGCATAAAGTATAAGCTTCAGGGCCGAAACAAATGGCCCAGGCCTGGGTCTAACATGCATATCCGTTTGGGGCCTGGACCCATGTCTGCGATTGGTCCAATTTTGTGATGGGCCTGGATTATGACTCTTTCACGTAGACTGTTTGGAATTTGCAGATCTAGATGTAGTATTTCTTAAAAAGATAATAATTAGTTAGGCAAGTAAAAATAGGAAAATCACCATAGCTTTTAGGTTTGCCTTTTGAATAATAAAAATGAGATGAGTCTCGCTAAACAGACAAATAAACTACGGGGCCCTCATTAAGTGTATATATAAAATACTTGAATTTCGGGACGGGCCGTTTAACGAATTTTACGGTTTTTCCAAAGTAATAACACGCTAGTGTCTTTAGGCGCGTATTTTAATAGTGTTACTTCCCTAAACTCGGGTGCGCATTTATGTGACCCAAATCCAAATCTCAATAGAGTTGAAATGTGTCAATAACCACGGGTGCATTGATGTGACGTGGTTCGAGATGTATTTTCACGACGTTGCAATTCTCGTTAAAAATAACAATGATAACAGCGGTAAACAGTAAAAAAAAATTGCACATAGGTTCAACATGTATTAAAATCAGATAAACCAGCCGAATATGACAGTTGAGCGACCGTGCTAGAAACACGGAACTCGGGAATGCCTAACACCTTCTCCCGGATTAACAGAATGCCTTACTCGGATTTCTGGTTCGCGGACTGTAATACATAGTCAATCTTTTTCTCGATTCGGGATTCAACCGGTGACTTGGGACACCATAAATCTCCTAAGTGGCAACTCTGAATCTTTAAATAAAATCTCATTTCGATTGTCCTTTAATTGGAAAAACTCCCTCTGCGCCCTTTAAGGGGGCGCGGGTGAAAAAGGAGGTATGACACCATTTATTTCCAATTGGTTTCTTTTCCGGTGGAGGAGGTACAATATCCCAAGTCGCATTAGCTTCAAGAGCCTCAAATTCTTTTAACATAGCTTCCTGCCAGGCAGGATGTAGTGCTGCTTGTTGATAAGTTGTTGGCTCAAGAACAATATCTACAGCTTTTATTAAACCTTTGTTAGTTGAACTTAAACTACTGAAGCAAACTCACTTGAGAGAAGTAGGAACAGAAGTTAAAGTGAGTGGAAAAGGAGAAGAAGTAGAAACACACACATAATCTTTCAGAGTAAGAAGGTTGATGATGGTGCCGAGAAGGATATCTTGGAGGAACTTCAGATGCAGTAACTTGAGAAGGTGCAGAAATGTTAGAGAGAGGAATTGAAACAGGTGGAGAAAGTGAGTTAACAGAAGAGGGAGAAGGTGTAGAAATATTTTGGGAAGGAGGAGAATTGTGCTGATGAGAGGAATTAGTAGGACCAGGTATACAAGAGGTAGGATGATCAAAGTTGGAAGAATAGAAAACATCTGGAAACAATGTTATAGGTGAAGTGGACTCAGAGTAAGGAAAAATATTTTCATGAAAAACAACATCTCTAGAGATGAGGATTTTCCTGTCTAAAAGTTGCAGCAGCTTGTATGCTTTCTTTCCAGGAGGGTAACCAAGGAAAATGCATGGAGTAGATCTTGGAGAAAATTTATCTCTTAAAGACTTAGGGACCACTACATAACAGAAGCAACCAAAACTCCTCAAGTGATTATAGGTAGGTTGGACTCCATATAGAATTTCAAATGGGGCTTTTCCAGATAAAATTGTACTAGGAAGTCTTTTATTAAGTAGGTAGCTGTGAGTATACAATCTCCCCAAAAATGAAATGGAAGTTTGGATTGATATAGAGAGCCCTTGCTGTTTCTAAGAGATATTTGTGCTTTCTCTCAACTATACCATTTTGTTGAGGTATATAAGGGCACGAAGTCTGATGTAAAACCCCTTTTGACTGAAAGAATTGAGTGGCTTCAAAACTCGTACCAAGTTCTAGGGCATTGTCTGTTCTAATGGTTTTAATTTTCAGGTTGAATTGAGTCTCAACCATTGCAAAAAATGATTTTAGGACAGAAAGTGCATTCCCTTTGGTGCTTAGAAGATGAGTCCAAGTACCTCTACTACAATCATCTACCAGTGTTAAAAAATACTTGCAATTTCTGTATGTTGCAGTATAATATGGTCCCCATATATCCACATGGACAAGATCAAAAATATGTAAAACATGTGACTGACTATTTTGGAAAGGAATCCGTTGTTGTCTAACAAGTGGGAACACATCACAAATGAAAGGTTTTCTATCACAAGATGGAACATTGATACAAGTGATTTTCTATAATTTGGAAAAGGGAAGATGACCCAGCCTATTATGCCACAAAATGTGTGACTTATTCACATTGGCATTATTTACATGAACAGAAAGTGAAGAAGAAACCGTGGAACAATCAGATTGTAGTCCTGTGGAGCTAGAATTGAGGAGATAGATCCCTTCAGCCATCTTACCAAGTACCAATGGCTTCTTCAGAGAAGGCCCTGTAGGAAGCATGCAACTGAGGAGAAAGTTAGGAGTAATGTGGATAGATAGAAATAAAATTGTACTTAAATGTGGACAGATAGAGTACTTTTGAAAGAGTAACTAATGAGTTAATATGTACAGTACCAATAGAGGTCACTTTCACTTTATATCCATTAGGTAGGGTGACAAGGATGGGAATTGGTGAGTCAGTTATATTGGTAAGTAAATTTTTATCATAGGTCATATGGTCAGTTGCTCCAGAGTCTATAATCCAAGAACCAGGATTTAAATGAGACTTTAAACACGAACAAGTTCCACAACTCATGTGACAGAAACAAGCAAGAATACCTGCAAAATTTGAAAAGCAGAGGGTACTGATTCTGGCCTTAATCTACAACTTGCACTTGTTGAAGGATGTTGATTAGCTGCTTGTATTGGTCTGCGGTTATGGTAGTGGATGAAGTGAGATTCTCAGAGAAATTGTCAACTTTGCTTTCAGGATTGGAATACACATTAGCAACAATTCTCGCATTTTTATTGCCAAATTTGAAGTTCTGTGGATAACCATGAAGTTTATAACACTTTTCTATTAGATGCCCATTTTTTTTTTTGCAATACCTACAAAATAGTTTCTGAGGATCTGAGATTCCTTTTCCATCAGAATTTCCCTTTCGATATTGATTCTGAGTAGGGAAATTATACTTCTGCGATTGATTATTAAAATTATTTCTTGGATTGTTGAAGGAGTATTTGGGTTTGGAGTTAGATCCAAAAGAGAAGGAAGCTGAATCCGATTGAAACACAGGCAGATTTTGAAAGCTCCTTTGTTTCTCATCTTGAATAATCAAAGAATATGCTTTGCTCACATTAGGAAGAGGCTCCATCATTAAGATGTTTCCCCTAGCATTGTTGAAGATTTCATTGAGGCCCATTAAGAACTGCATTAGTTTCAACTTTTGATCCCTCTTCATCATCTTATGTTTACCCCCACAAGTACACTCACAAATACAATAAGAATCTGTGTTTAAGGACTCCATCTCATCCCAAAGTCTTTTAACTTTGTTGAAATAACCACTCACGTCAGATTACCCTTGAGAAACTGAACTCAAATCCCTCTGAACTTCATACATTCGAGTACCATTGGACTGTCCATACCGCTGGTTCAATTCATCCCAAAGTCCTTTGGCAGTTTTGGAATATATGACACTTTGAGAAATATTCGGGTCTAGAGAATTGAGGATCCAACTAATAACCATATGATTACACTATTCCCACTGTTCAAAGAGTGGGGACTCAACAAGAGGTCAAACATAACTATCATTAATAAACCCTATTTTCTTCTTCGCAGAAAGTGCGATAACATCAAACTCTTTGAAAACTAACATAATACCGGGATTATCAGATGGATGCAAATAGAAAGGATGTGGCGGGGAAAATGGGTTCATTATCAAGTTGGAGATTTAGAGACGAATTCTGGTGAGTTTGTTCGTCATGATCACTTGTATCACCCATCGCAAAAAAAAAAAGCTACACAATCAGAGAATTTGAAAAAAAAATCAATTCACTTAGAACACCTAAAAACAACAGCAACTTCCAGTCACAATTTACTATGAAATACCTCCACGGAACTCCTGGAAAATGCCTCAAATACCAAAACAATTGAACCGCCGATTCTCATATGAAGGAATTCGATCAATCTCTTGACGTGAACTGAAGGAGAAAGTCAAATTGATAGCAAACGAAATTAGGGCAAAAACAGCAATGAAATTGAGAATTTCCTCGATCTAGAAACAAAACAAAAAAAATAAAGAGAATTAACCAAGGAAATCAAAGACACAGTTGGAAACTAGGTGATTTCCATGGCTCTGATACCATGTTAGAACGCAATGAGATTCGAATCTGGGAACAGTGAGAAAGAGAAGAAGATCGTCGCACAGTAAAGAGAGAAAAATTAGATTAACAGAATTGACCGGTTCACTCTCTGGAACCTTCTATTAGTTATGTAAGATCCATTTACAAAGAATAAGTTGGAAAATAAAAAATAATACAAGGCCAACTACATCCCAATATAAATAGCGAAGCCCAAATACAACCAAAACCCAACTATGCCCAATTAATATTCTAACCCAACCTAGCAACTACCCCCCCCCCCCCCCCCAACTCTTGCCACCTCAAAAAATTAATAGATAAGAATTAAGGTAAAGGGGGTTGAGGAAGGAAGAAAAAATAAGAAATCCAAACTCGAACTCGAATTTGAGACGTACATTATTTCTTTAATATATGCGTTGGTAAAAAATAAAATACACAAAAAAATGTCTAAATTAATCAGAACACTACCTTCAGTAAAAGGGTTCAAAGTCGACATTTTTTATCTGGTTAAATAAGTTATTATATTTAATTATCATTCGTGTAATTTTTTATATACGTCTAAAAACTTGTGCAATTTTCCTATTCGTGAGAGGTGCATGATAACCCATGTTTATTTTTGACATTCATCTTCAATGATATTAAACGCTGCAGGTTACTAAATCCTAAGCTCTAGATTAGATTAGTTAATCAATGTTTGTTTCAATCTTGTCGGATTTCTGAATACTTGGCTTTCTAGTAATGTATATAAGTACACAATCAATTTGCTTAACTAGTGAAGTGATAATCATCTAGTTTGCTTTCACAATTTTTCTGGCTTGATGCAGTTCATAATTGACTATATACTGCCAAAATTGAATCTCTCTCTGCAGTACTTCATCAACATATGACTTTCGTTTTTCACATCTTTGTTTATATATAAAATGTTTGGTATGACGGAAGCATTTATCATTAAAAAATATTTCGTGAAAATATTTTCTTTGGTGTTTGGTTGATGACCGAAAAATAATAATGAATCAACAACAATAACAATAGCACGCTCAGTGTAATCATATAAGTGGGGTCCAGGAAAGATAACGTGTACATAAACCCTTACTCATATTTTGTGAAAATAGAAAAATTATTTTTGATGGATCCTAGGCTCAAAAAAAGTATAAATAAAATAATTTTAAAAAAGATACAGTAGTGGAGTATATCTAAGCACAAAAATGTTTTTTCCATTTATGTTAAAAAGGTCAATCTCCGCCTAAGCCAGATTGAAAATTTCATTCTCGACAGTGCTAAATCCTGACACACTTTGACGTGCCAAGTTGGATGGATTCAATTATGTCTAGTCATTTTCTCCAGAAAAGCAGTGAAATTGACATCCCTACTTGATTTGGTCTTTGATGTGCTAAAATGACTTGTTTCTTCTGAAGTACTAATAATATAGCAAGAAAAATTCCTGCAATCCACCGTCCCGTTGAAATATACTTATAATAGTTCAATAAATGTTCTAATCTGACAGTTGTAATATGTATATCTCCGAGTGGTGATAGGAATTCAAGCATCTTCCCATATGCATTGAACGGATACAAATGTATGGGTCAAAATTAGATCTATTTTAGCGAATGCATACCAACAAGCTGAGGTCGAGGTCGAAATCGAGCACAGTCCAATGGCGAGGAGTCGTTCAAGGAGAGAGACCAATGTCGAGGTCAAGTAGAGAACAAACGGCTGCAACTGTTAGAATATTCCTAGGATTACGAATAGGAATATTCCATTGAATACTCCCCCAAATTGTACTTCTTTAGGGTTTTTAGGGATATCCCTTATAAATAGAAAGAGAGAGGAAACAGAAAGGAGATTCAGAACTTTTATGAAAGAACATCTTGTAAAGAGTTGACTATCAAGAATATACAAAAAGCTTGTCTTGTCTCATCTGTTTGATTCCTTTACAAAATATTCCTCTTTTATTCACAAGATCCAAGAACACGTTGGTTACTTCCATAGTCTACTGTCACGCGCTATAATCAGAAGAAGGAATCTTGCATCCCCTTCAACAATTGGGTGACAAATTCCTTCTTATTACATATAATGTCATTTATCACATTTATTGCATGTTTTCATTATCATATTTATTAACAATTATTAAGCATTAACTTGGCATTCGTTAACTTGAATACGGTCCCATACCGTCCAAGTTGTTGAACGTCAGATCTGGGAATTGTTATTTTCAACTTGGATTCACCCTCTGTCTATTTATTAAATTGGTTTAACAAAAAGGGCTTAAAACCTTTTGATCTAATAATTTGACGCCGTCTGTGGGGATGTCCTAGTAAAAAAGTTTGGTTTCGTCTAGATCTAGAAAAAAAAAAAAAAGCTCCTTTTTTCTTGTTTGCACAAGCTAACAATGGCAGGAAAAAGAGAAGAAAGACTGAAAGCAGTGATGGGTGTACTACTAATCTCCTAAGCACCATCAACGAGGTAGACAAGGAAGACAAGGAGAATGCGACGTCGAGCGCCTCACCCAGGCAAAGCGATTCACCTCTTCCTCATGGGAGTGTAACCGCTTCGCATGAGAAGGGAGCTTCCACGTCCACGACGGAAGAAGCGCCGCCCGCAGTAAAAAAGTTATTGGAGGCGTGACTGACAAGTACCCTAAGCAGTATACTCGACAAACCCACTCAAGGGCGAGTAGGAACACCGCATGAGTTGACACTCCAATAACCATCAACGAGCAACACACTCTTCCACCGACAGCTAACACTCACACCGTTGTTGATGCAGGTAACAACGCCCTCATAGCTATTCTGAGAAAAATGGAAGAAATGGAGAATGAGAATAAAGCACTCCGCGACAAAATGAGGGAGCACCAAGAAAGAGTTGATAAGATACCAAACGCCTCAAAACTTCTGCCAAAACGGGATGTCGGTTGGTTCGTGGAACAACCATACAGCGAGGAGGCAGCCTACCATGCCATACCCAAAACCTTTAAAATGCCGCCATATTTGAAAATATATGACGTCATAACAGACCTCGAAGACCATATCATTCATTACGTCACGACGGTAAAAGGCAACGATCTCTCGAAAGAACAGGTACCGTCGGTGCTGCTGAAGAAGTTCGGCGAAACCCTAACAGGGGGAGCCTTAACATGATACTCACAGTTATCGGCATGTTCCATAACGACATTCGAGGAAATGGCCGACAAGTTTGTCACCGCCCACACCGGGGCCAAGAAAGCAGAAGCCAGAGTGAATGACATATTCGCCATCAAACAATAGCCTAGCGAAGGACTTCGGGACTTCCTCGCCCAGTTCAATAGTGTAAGAATGAGCCTACCAAACGTGTTAGAGGGGATGGCAGTAGTGGCCTTTCAAAACGGGTAGAACAGGAACGGATCAAGCGTGACCACAAAATTATTAAGCAGACTCATGAAATTCCCTCCCACCACCTGGGAAGAAATTCACAATACTTACTGCGGCAAGGTGAGAGCAGACGAAGACGACCTCAATGGTCCAACCCAACGGTTAACGACAGTCCAAATGGAATCAAGGAAAGATCGACAAAATGACAACCGAAGAGATCACGCAGGTCCATGCCTCAGTCGGGAAAGGTACCAACCGTACATCAGAACGACCACCCCGCTAATTCCCCCCAAGCTGAAGGAATGTCTAGACCTCAAACAGGGATTCATCGAAAAGAAATAGGTATGCCCCCACTTATATTTGCTCAGAATTTTTATGTTTCTCCTTCAGAAATAGTTTACACCCTAGAGAAGCTCGGTCCCAAGGTAAAATGACCACAAAAGATGAAGTCGGACCCAAATTCTAGAAAGTCGAATGCCCTCTACGAGTTCCATTAGGAACGGGGCTACAAGACCGAGGATCGCATAGCCTTACGACAAGAAGTAGTGAACATGCTCCACCAAGGATATTTAAAAAGAGCTGATGAGCGACCGAGGGAGAGCCAATTTCGCCCGTGGATGAGAAAAACATCAAGGTCCCCCAAAGCCACCCTCCCCCACCCGCATCGTCCAAATGATCATCGACGGAGGCAATGAAGCAACAATCAACCATGTGAA